CAGAGCATAAGATCTGAACCATCCCTAAACCTTGAGCACCACCCATGGCAGATACTAAAGCAGAAAATTCAGCCAACAGTTTGGCCGAAGGACATGCTCTTCCTATCACTGGTCACAAACTGAATGGCCAGAATTACAATCAATGGGTGCGCTCAGTCAAAATCTACCTTTAAGGAAAAGGGAAGGAAGGTTATATCACAGGAGACTCCAAGTGTCCAAAAAAGGGGGATTCCAACCTTGAAAAATGGCAACTAGAAAACAGTCTAGTAATGTCATGGCTGCTAAACACCATGACAAATGAAATTGGAGAAAATTTCTTGTACTATGATACTGCCAAAGAGATGTGGGATGCCGTAAAGGAAACCTACTCTAATGTCGACAATACATCTGCAATATTTGAAATCAAGAGCATACTCCATGACTTGCGTCAAGAAGACCGCTCGGTCACAGAGTATTTTAATACTCTCAATCGTCACTGGCAGCAACTGGATGTATATGATGAAGCTGAATGGAGCTGCACAGAGGATAAAAAGAAGTACAAAGAATTGGTGGAGAAAGATAGAATCTACAAATTTCTCTTAGGTTTGAACACATAACTTGATGAAGTTTGTGGGAGAATCCTTGGAACCAAACCTCTTCCAAAAATTCGAGAAGCATTCTCGGAAATACGAAGAGAGGAAAGCAGGAGAAAAGTGATGCTTGGAAAATTCAGTGCAGCCCCATCTATAGAAGGATCTGCAATGGCAGCAAGGGGAGATCATCGATCTTTCCAAAAGAAAACACGGCCATGGTGTGACCACTGCAAGAAACCGGGTCATACCAAAGACACATGTTGGATCATTCATGAAAAGCCATCAGAGCTAAAATGGAGCAAAAACCGGGACAGCAGAGGGAACACAGCTGAGGTAAATTCTCATTCATCACCATTCAACAAGGAGCAAATGGAAGCCTTACAAAAATTGCTTCAACAAACAATTGGTACAGCTACTGTGGCACAAAAAGGTAATTTTTTGCATGCTCTAAACACTAGCAGGGGAAAACAAAAATCATGGATTATTGACTCAGGAGCATCTGATCACATGACTGGAGATTTGACTGTCTTTGATAGCTATTCTCCATGTCAAAATAATTCGACTGTTCGAATTGCTGATGGTACCCTTTCTAAGGTCATGGGTAAAGGTTCAGTCATTATTTCGCAAAATATTACTCTTAGTTCAGTACTGTATGTGCCTAAACTTGATTGTAACTTGCTGTCCATAAGTAAACTTACAAAGGATTTGAAGTGTATCACTAAATTCTTTCCTAACCTGTGTGAATTTAAGATTTTGGAGTCGGGGAGGACGATTGGCAATGCTAAAGAATGTGCTGGACTCTATATCCTTCAGGCTGAAGCATCTAAACCAGAATTCGAGGCAACCTCTTGCGCTGTAGTTTCTGCATGTAGTGAAAATTCTGCAATGCTGTGGCACTATAGACTAGGCCACCCAAATTTTATGTACTTGGAAAAAATGCTTCCTAAACTATTCAATAAAAATCAGAAGTTGTTTCAATGTGAAATTTGTCAATTGTCCAAACATACACGCAGCCCCCACCCACCTCAACCCTATAAACCTTCCCAACCTTTTTATGTTATTCATAGTGATGTATGGGGACCATCGCGGGTCAGAAATGTAACTGGAGCAAGATGGTTTGTCACATTTATTGATGACCACACACGGCTCACTTGGGTCTACCTTATGAAAGATAAATCGGAAGTTGGTAGGATATTTGAATGTTTCCATACCATGGTGCAAACACAATTTCAAAGCAAAATTAGAGTGCTTAGGAGTGATAATGGTCGTGAGTACTATAATTCTGCACTAAGCTCATACTTTACGCAACATGGAATAATACACCAAACCTCATGTGTGGATACACCTCAGCAGAACGGGGTTGCCGAGAGAAAGAATAGACACCTCCTAGAAGTAATCCGATCTCTCATGCTAGCTACAAATGTACCTAACCAGTTTTGGGGAGAAGCTGTCCTCTCTGCAACCTATCTAATAAACAGAATGCCTTCCCGAATCCTTAACTTTCATACGCCTTACTCCACTCTCCAAACCTTATACCCAACCAATCGTATTCTTACATCTATTCCTTTGAAAATATTTAGATGCACAACCTTTGTCCATAATCTTGATCCCCAACGCAGTAAACTTGACCCGAAATCCATTAAATGCATATTCCTCGGCTACTCTCCTCACCAAAAGGGATACAAATGTTATTCACCTCAAAACAAAAAATTCTACCACACCATGGATGTAACCTTTTTTGAGAATCAGCCATATTACCCCAAAGTTGGCATTCAGGGGGAGAACACATATCCAATTGAAGTGGTAGAATCCCAACTTTTGGAACTTGAGCTAACTGAACCCAAACTCACTGCAGAGGCATCAAAACCTACACCTGAACCAAATGAAAATGCAACAGAAACTGCAGAACTTACATGTGGACCAGAAGAAACTACGTTAGAAAATACAGAGGAAATTGCAGTAGAAACTGCAGCCCCTACAACAGAAACTGCACCAGGAAACAACATGAAAGTGTACTCCAGGAAGAACAAGAAGGGAATAGAGTCCTGCACAACTCCAAGGCAGAACCAAGAAACCTCCAAGACTCCAGAAAATGGCGTTCCCTCAGGTAATACTGCTCCTAACTCTGTGAATGTTGATATTGATATTCCTATTGCGTTGAGAAAAAATGTAAGATCCTGTACCAAACATCCCATTGAAAGATTTGTATCTTATGAAAAATTGTCCCAAAGTTACAAGACTTTTGTAACAGCTCTTGACAATACACATATTCCAAGCAACATCCATGAGGCACTCCAAAATTCTGAATGGGCAGCAGCTGTAACGGAAGAGGTTCAGGCCTTAATTAAGAATGGCACTTGGGAAATCACAAGCCTACCTGTAGGGAAGAAGCCGGTAGGATGCAAATGGATATTCTCCATGAAGTATAATGCAGATGGGAGTGTAAATCGGTACAAAGCTCGACTTGTAGCAAAGGGATTTACTCAATCATATGGAGTAAATTATGAAGAGACTTTTGCACCGGTGGCAAAACTAAACTCCGTTAGAGTTATTCTCTCTTTGGCTGCAAATTTAGATTGGCCACTCCATCAACTAGACATCAAGAATGCCTTCTTAAATGGTGACCTAGAAGAGGAAGTTTATATGCAGATTCCTCCTGGACTCGAATCATCCAGCACCGCAAATATGGTGTGCAGGCTCCGAAAATCCCTTTATGGCCTCAAGCAGTCCCCAAGGGCGTGGTTTGATAGATTGACTCGAGTTGTCAAGAAAGACGGGTTCAAACAATGCCAATCAGATCACACTATGTTTGTTAAACACTCCATGGAAGGAAAGGTAGCTTTGTTTATTGTTTATGTGGATGATATCGTTATTACAGGAAATGATTATGATCAAATTGATCATTTAAAGGGACTATTGGCAAAGGAATTTGAAGTTAAGGACTTGGGACAACTTAAGTATTTTTTAGGGATGGAAGTTGCTCGAACAAAGGATGGTATCTATGTATCACAAAGGAAATACACCCTTGACTTACTTCAAGAAACTGGAATGCTTGGGTGCAAGGCAACTAATACACCAATAGAACAAATAAAAGGAAGAGAAGATGAAAGTCCACCAGCCGACAAAGATAGATATCAAAGTCTAGTTGGGAAACTAATCTACCTATCTCACACTAGGCCTGACATTGGGTTCGCTGTAAGCTTGGCTAGTCGCTACATGTCAAATCCAACCAAGTCTAACATGAAAATGGCGAATAGAATCCTCCAATACCTCAAAGGCACACCAGGTCGAGGCCTCCACTTCAAGAGAAATTCAAACAGGGACATTGAAGTTTATACAGATTCAGATTGGGCAGGATGCTCCACAGACAGAAAATCGACTACAGGTTATTGTTCATTTGTGTGGGGGAACCTAGTAACTTGCGAAGCAAGAAACGAACTGTAGTGGCGAGGAGTAGTGCAGAAGCAGAATTTAGAGCTATGGCCCTAGGTATTTGTGAAGGAATGTGGCTTAAGAGCATGCTAGATGAAATCAAAATTCCAGTGAACCATACTGTGAGGTTACTATGTGATAACAACGCTGCTATAAGCATTGCAAAGAACCCAGTCCAACATGATAGAACAAAACATGTGGAAATTGACCGACACTTCATTAAAGAAAAAATTGATCATAAGATTATAAGTATTGATCATGTCCCATCATGCAAGCAAACTGCAGATATCTTAACCAAGGCTCTTCCAAGGAATACTTATGAAAATATCAAATCCAATCTGGGTATGATAGACATCTACCACCCAGATTGAGGGGGAGTGTTGAAGATTAGCACATATCAAATCATAATCATTTGATTCTCATCTGTCAAGCTGTTACAAAACAGTGGTGTAAATAGATTTATTATCTATTATTCTGATTTCCTTATTTAGGTAGCAGCAATTATAGGAAATTATTTCTCTGTTTATTAACAAATTAGTGTACTGTATTCTATATATACCTCACAATGTAACAGTTCCAATAACAAAATGAAATATACAACGTATTTCTATAATAACATATATAGAGAAAGTTAAAGATCAACAATATTAATTACATACTAAATATATTGATCCTATCCTAAAATATACTAAAGAATATTTTAGGAATATTCTAGAGAATATTCTTATTCTATATACAAATATCAACACTATCAAATTTTCAACTCTATTAATTATTTCTTACCAAACTACCACTAATTATTTTTTATTTTTTTGAACTAGCAATTAATATGATAAATTAATTTTCTCTCAAAGGATAAACTTGGAACAACAATATCAATGTTAACAAACTTAGACTCGTACAGTTTTTCTTAATTTCTAAGATTTAGTCTATGTAGTCTATATTTAGGGACGAAGGTAGTATTTGTTAATAAATTTTCGAAATTAATTTTTGCAGGTCTCCTTGTTTGCCCTTTCCTTTTGGAGCTTCCATTTCGCAAGTTTATGTGCATTTGGGCTACTTGCTTACGTTGGTTACATTATCTATGCTTTCCCTTCCTTATTTCGTCTGCACCGACTGAATGGCCTGCTTCTTGTCTTCATTCTCTTCTGGGCTGTTAGCACCTATATATTTAATGTGGCATTTACATTTCTGAATTGGAAACTTGGACGGGTAATTATGTCTTTCATTGTTGCAATTTTTATCACACAAGTGTTAATTTGAATATCTGTAAATTGTTGATACTTGTTTACCAGGACATGAAAATCTGGGAGATGGTGGGTCTGTGGCACTATCCAATACCTGGGTTTTTTTTGCTTGCACAATTTTGTCTTGGAATTTTGGTGGCATTGGGTAATCTTGTGAACAATTCTGTTTTCCTCTTGTCTGATGAGGGTGGACAAACTTTAAATGACTATACCTCGGTCAAAGGTATTCAATTACCGTCTTGTCGTGCCTGTTTCCTGGAAAACTCATAGCCCTCTTTAGTTACTCTTTTATGTATAGTTACTTTCCCTTTTATTTGTGGTTGTACATGGCCATATACTGAAGAAAAAACACGCACACCCAAACGGCCCAACTCTAACTTAATATTATAAAAATAAGAAAAAACACCCACACCCAAATGGCCATACCCAGGAATATGCAATATAGTTGATCACAATCATTGTTGTTATGAGATGCTGTGATTCTCATAATATTTGGGATTGATTTCCACCAATGTGTCTATATACCATAACTGCATGTCTATCCATTTTGTTTTTTCTTGATAAATTAACTCCTCTAGAAATCATTTAGGACAGTCAGATTATTGTGGATTATGATATTTAAAGGAAGAGTTCTCAATTTTCCAAGGCAGCAAAAGAATATGTTTTCTCGCAGGGGTTCAAATTTTTTTCATTATGAACTCTTCTTACCATTTTTAGCAATACTTTGACCCAACCCAACGAGGCTGGTTACATTTAGGCCTTTACAGCGTCTGTGAATATAGTCTGGACGGTGTAGTCATTTTGGCTTGAAAAGCTTTGTCCTTTTATGGCCTGGGTATCTATTCTTAGTATCTCTTAATTGCTCTGTGGTTCTGTCTTCATTTGAAAACATTTAGGGATACTATAGAGCTTCTGATCACTGTATTGTGCGATTAAAACCCCTGAACTACGTTGTCGTGTTGGTACCTGTTGAAGTTATTAGAGAGATAAGTACAGAATCAACAAATTTTGTGTTATAATAATAATTAATTGTAAATAATAATTAGTAATTAACTATTAATAATTAGTAATTAGTTGTCTTCAACCATATTTAGAATTAGCATTTAGAATTAACATTTAAAGTGATTTGTTCCTTATATTCTATAAATACCTTTCATGTATTACTTACTAAAATATCAAAGAAATACAGATTGTTTTTTTTTAATGGTATCAAAGCACCCGATTCTAGGGGTTCTGCTTCCGCGTTCAAAACATTAGTCGTTCTTATTACGGTCCTTTTTTCTTGGTCAAGGTTCCCTTTCTCTTGGAACCTTAGTGATCTCGGTGACTTTGCAGCCGTCGTGCACCGCTCAACCGTCATTGTAGATTCGGACGGTTTCACCTTCATTTTTGTTTTCAGGATAACCTTCATTGTTGTACCTCTGTTTCTTGTTGTTTGCAACCCTTGATTGTTTGGTTGTCATCTTTGTTGGAGTTTCTCATTGGCAGCCCTTTGATCCTCTCCTAACAGTAGATCTCGACTCTCCTGGCTCGAGACAGTTTGTTTCTCTTTACGGATTCCTTAAGTAAGTTCTCTAACACTAGTTCTCTGACCATGACTGATAAGAACTCTAACTTCTTAGCTTTTAATGCCTCTTGTTCTAAAGATATATGGATTATTGACTCTGGTGCAACTGATCACATGACTCCATATATGTCATATCTCTCTTCTTATTCACCTTTACCTAATAAACGCCATATTACCGTTGCAAATGGGTCCCAAACCCCGATTGTTGGATCTGGTAACATCCGCCTAAGCACATCTCTCCACTTAAATCATGTGCTTCATGTCCCTAAGCTTTCTACCAATCTTTTGTCCATCCATAAACTCACTGAAGACTTGAATTGTGCTGTAACTTTTTTTCATTCTCATTGTGTTTTTCAGGACCTTGCCACAGGGGAGACGATTGGAATTGCTGAGGAATAGAACGGGTTATATTATCTGCCTCATAAGAAAGCAAGTGTCACAAGGCTGGTTCAGAGTCATGGGAAAATACTCAAATATGGCTCCAACACAGGCTTCTTGGACATCCTCCTTTCCGCATGCTCAGGTCTCTATTCCCTCACCTATTTACCAAAGTGTCTGTTGATTCCTTTCATTGTGATGTGTGCCAGTTTGCCAAATCCCATCGAGCAACCTATTCCCCTAGTGATACTAGGAGTGTCGAACCCTTTGATCTTGTTCATTCTGATGTATGGAGACCTTCATCCATTTCCAATATTTCTGGTGCAAAATGGTATGTTACTTTTAGTGATGATTGTACTCGGGTTACATGGGTTTTTCTTATGAAAGATAAGTCTGAAGTGTGTCAATTGTTTCTTAACTTTTTTCAAATGGTTAAAATACAGTTTGGGAAAACTATTAAAAGGTTATGGTCAGACAATGGTAAGGAGTATGTAAACTAAAATTTTCACAATTTTCTCAAAACTAATGGTGTTATTCATGAGTTGAGTTGTGTTGACACTCCACAACAAAATGGGGTTGCCGAAAGGAAAAATCGTCATCTTTTTGAAATCATCCGAGCATTACGCTTTCAAATGAATGTTCCTAAATTTTATTGGGGGGAAGCTGTCTTGACCTCTGCTTATTTAATCAATAAGTTACCTTCTAGGGTGTTATCTGATGTTAATCTTGTGCAGGTCCTGACTCGATTCTTTCCGTCCGTGCCCATTATGTCAAGTCTTCAGAATCGTGTCTTTGGTTGTTCTGCCTTTGTCTATGTTCATGGTCCTCACCGGGGTAAGTTAGATCCTCGGGCTATTAAATGTATCTTCATAGGATATGCTTCAGATAAGAAGGGGTACAAGTGTTATCATCCTCCTAGTCGTTGTGTCTATATATCCATGGATGTTTCTTTTCAGGAATCTGAGTCTTTTTATCCCAGTCCTCAGTTTCAGGGGGAGAATAATCAAGAAGCTGAGTCTTCAGAGTTGTTTGTCCTTCCTGTTATTCCTGTAATACCGGACCCAGAGCCGTCTCCTGAGTTGCCTGTTATTCCTCTAATACAGGACCCAGAGTCCTCTCCTGAGTTGTCTGTTCATCCTGTTATTCTTGTAATACAGGAGCCCTTGATGCCTAATGAGGATGGTGGTGATGTATCAATACCGGTGCATAATAATGTTGACAGATACAAGTTACAGTTCCAGCGAAAAAGGTGGAAAGGTAAACCCGTTCTGCCCCAACAAGTCCAATCGTTTGAACCTGAGGTAAGTGTTCCTAACCCTGAGCCTAGTAATTCTTGTGAGCCAAACCTTGATGACCTACCTATTGCTTTGAGAAAAGAAAAAAGGTCTTGTACCAAATACACTATATCCCAGTTTGTGTCTACTGAAAAGCTTTCTGTGCAACATCTGAGTTTTATTTCAGCTATTGACTCTAATAGAGTTCCTGCATCAGTACAAGAAGCATTAAAGGATAAGAATTTGATTCAAGCCATGAATGAAGAGATGCATGCACTAGAGAAAAATGGGACTTGGGAGATTATTGAGAAGTCAAATGACAAGAGGCCAGTAGGCTGCAGGTGGATATATACGGTAAAATACCGATCCGGCAGTACACTCGACATATATAAGGCGAGGCTAGTTACAAAGGGATACACCCAGACCTATGGAATTGATTATGAAGAGACAATTGCTCTAGTAGCAAAAATGAACACCGTAAGAATCATTCTTTCTTTGGCAGCTCACTTTAGTTGGAAGTTGCAACAGTTTGATGTGAAAAATGCTTTCTTGCATGGAGATTTGGAGGAAGAGGTGTATATGGAGATCACACCCGGATATACTTCAGGAAGTAATAAGGTTTGCAGGTTAATAAAGGCCATCTATGGGCTCAAGCAATCACCCCGGACTTGGTTTGGGAGACTCACTCATGTTATGGTGTCCTTGGGTTATAAACAAAGCCAAGGTGATCATACTCTCTTTAGAAAGCATGCTCAAAATAAAATCACTCTTTTATTAGTCTACGTAGACGATATGATCAGAGCAGGTAATGATGAATTTGAGAAGAAGAACTTGAGGAAGGAGTTGGCAGCTCAGTTTGAAATTGTTGATATTTGTAAATATATAATGTTAAGAATATTTGTATGTAGAATAGTCCCACATCGATTATATAGTGTAGTTAGTTGTAATCTCTCTATATATAATAAAGTCTCCGTAGTGCTTTCATAACACACGGTTTAACCTAAATGTCTCTTAGTCTCTCCTAATTCAATATGGTATCTAGAGCCTTCTAAGAGGCAATTCTTCGCCGTGCTTTACCCGGTTAACCCACTGTCTTCCGGTAAGAAATTTTCTTCTGCAAACCGTGTCATCATTCCGGTTTGCCTCACCTTTTTTTTCCAGCGACCTCTGCCAAGCACAGTCCACGGAAAAAAAAAATCTTTTTTTGGAGGACTACTGTTCATCGCCGCCGCTACTGTTCACGAAAAAAAAAAAAAATTCTTTCGGAAAATCGCCTTCCTCCTCCGGTTCCAGATCCGCCCTCGACTTTCGTTTTCGACTCACAGAAAGTCGTACTCTCGAAAAGTCGTACACTATGCAGACTTCACCTTCTCTTCAGAACCCTACGCCAAGCTACGAGGATTTTCTCAGGTGGTGTCAGACTAACCAGACCTCTGGTTCCACGGTTTCGTTTGCACACACTGGTAATTCATCTGTTTGCGTCTCTCAATCATCTCCTCTTGGTCCTTGGGTCCTCGACTCTGGTGCGTCTGATCATGTTACCGGTAATAAAAATCTTTTCTCTTCCCTTTCTACCTCTGGTTTCTTACCGAGTATAACTGCCGCAAATGGTTCTCAAACCCGATCCCAAGAGATCGGTACTGTTCAAATTCTACCATCTCTCTTTGTTACTTCTGTCCTATATGTACCTAATTGCCCATTTAATCTACTGTCAGTCAGTCGTTTAACTCGTTCCCTTAATTGTTCTATCACTTTTACTAACAGTGATGTTATTCTACAGGATCGAAGTTCGGGACAGACGATTTGCGTCGGATGTGAGTCTCAAGGCCTCTACTACTTCTCTACGTCATCTACCACATGCTCCACCAAAAATTCTCCACTCATTATACATGCGCACTTAGGTCATCCAAGTCTTCCCAAGCTACAAAAGTTGGTGCCCAGTTTATCTAAATTATCCACTTTACAGTGCGAGTCTTGTCAATTAGGGAAACATACTCGTAGTCACTTTCCTGATCGAGTCAATAAACGGGCTGCGTCTCCTTTTGCTTTAGTTCACTCCGATGTTTGGGGTCCATCGCGTACTGTGTCTACTTTTGAGTCTAGGTATTTTGTAATATTTATTGATGATTTTTCACGTTGCACGTGGCTATTTTTAATGAAAAACAGATCTGAATTATTTTCTATTTTTGAACAATTTTATCGAGAAATAAGAACTCAATTTGGTTTGTTCATTCGTACCTTAAGAAGTGACAATGCTCGTGAATATTTATCCCAACAATTTCAAACTTTTATGTCATCCAATGGTATTCTACACCAAACATCTTGTCCTCATACACCTCAACAAAACGAGATAGCCGAATGCAAAAACCGGCATCTCGTAGAAACCACTCGGACTCTACTTCTCCATGGTAATGTCCCTCTCAGATTTTGGGGGGAAGCTGTGCTCACAGCGTGTTATCTCATAAATCGCATGCCCTCATCTGTCCTTAATAATAAAATCCCTCATTCAATCTTGTTTCCAAACTCTCCTCTTCATCCAATTCCTCCTCGAATCTTCGGGTCTACATGTTTTGTGCATAATCTCTCCCCTGGTCTTGATAAACTATCAGCTCGATCACTAAAGTGTGTCTTTCTTGGTTATCATTGATCCAAAAAGGATTATCGTTGCTACTCACACACTCTGCAACGATACCTGATATCGGCCGATGTTACCTTCTTCGAGTCTGTGCCATATTTTGCGTCCACCCAAGTCACTCCGGAACCCCTTCAGGAAAGTACTCCCACACCTCTTCCGGACGTCCCATTTCCCATTATTCCCCATCATTCTAGGGAACCTGTCCCACGAGAAACCCCTACGGTTGACCCCCCCACTTCTCGTCCACTTCAAACATATCAGCGTCGTAAACCAACGTTTGTCATACCTGTCCCTGAGGTTGTACATGTCCCTGAGGTCGTACTTGTCCCTGAGGTCATTGCAGACTCTCCTCCGACGCTATCGCCATCACCGAATTCGATCCTGCAACCTGAGTCTGATCTTCCGATTGCCCTTCGCAAAGGTATACGTCAAACACGAAATCCTTCTCCACATTATATTGATTTATGTTATCATCGTCTTTCCCCTTTGCAGTATACTTGTTTGTCCTCTTTGTCTTCTATTTCTATTCCTAAATCTCCAGGTGAAGCATTATCTCACCCTGAGTGGAGGCAAGCAATGATTGATGAAATGTGTGCTCTTCAAAGCAGTGGTACCTGCGAACTGGTTCCTCTACCCACTGGAAAATCTATAGTAGGTTGTCGTTGGCTTTATACAGTGAAGGTTGGTCCAGATGGTAAGATTGATCGTTTTAAAGCTCGCTTGGTAGTCAAGGGATACACTCAGATTTTTGAGTTGGATTATAGTGATACCTTCTCGCCTGTAGCCAAGATGGCATCTGTTAGACTTCTTCTAGCCATTGCAGCCATTCGACACTGGCCTCTTCATCAACTTGACATCAAAAATGCATTTTTACATGGTGATCTTGAAGAGGAAGTATATATGGAGCAACCACCTGGGTTTGTTGCTCAGGGGGAGTCATCGAATATGGTGTGTAGGCTACACAGGTCTCTTTACGGTCTTAAGCAATCTCCGAGAGCTTGGTTTGGCAGATTCAGCACTGTAGTACAACAATTTAGTATGGTCCGTAGTGAAGCTGACCATTCTGTCTTTTATCGTCACTCAGTACAAGGGTGTATTTATCTTATTGTGTATGTAGATGATATTGTCATAACTGGTAGTGATGAGTCGGGAATACTCCAGTTGAAACAACATCTTTCAAATCAATTTCAGACAAAGGATCTTGGTAAACTCCGGTATTTCTTGGGTATTGAGGTAGCCCAATCTAAAGATGGTTTGGTGATTTCTCAGCGGAAATATGCTATGGATATTTTGGAAGAAACAGGTTTGTTGAACGCTAAACCAGTTGATACTCCTATGGATCCAAGTGTCAAACTACTACCCAATCAGGGGGAGCCTCTATCAGACCCGGGAAGGTATAAGAGATTGGTTGGAAAGTTGAATTATCTCACTGTCACTCGTCCAAACATTTCTTTTGCAGTCAGTGTGGTAAGTCAGTTCTTAAATTCCCCTTGTCAGGAACACATGGATGCTGTTATCCGGATTCTAAGATACATCAAATGTGCTCCAGGAAAAGGTTTAGTGTATGAAGATAAAGGACATACTCAGATAGTTGGATACTCTGATGCTGATTGGGCAGGGTCACCAATTGATAGACGATCCACCTCTGGGTACTGTGTACTTGTTGGAGGAAATCTTATATCTTGGAAAAGTAAGAAACAAAATGTAGTTGCAAGATCAAGCGCCGAGGCAGAGTATAGGGCCATGGCAATGGCAACATGTGAACTCATTTGGTTAAAAGAGTTGCTCAAAGAACTTAAAATTGAAGAAGCAAGACCAATGACACTTGTATGTGATAATCAAGCTGCATTGCACATTGCTTCAAATCCAGTCTTCCATGAGAGGACCAAACATATTGAGATAGACTGTCACTTTGTCAGAGAGAAGATCGAATCTGGCGACATCGTCACAAGCTTTGTCAACTCTAATGATCAATTGGCAGATGTGTTTACAAAATCTCTGCGAAGCCCCAGAACTAATTATATATGTGGCAAGCTTGGTGCATTTGACTTATATGCTCCAGCTTGAGGGGGAGTGTTGATATTTGTAAACATATAATGTTAAGAATATTTGTATGTAGAATAGTCCCACATCGATTATATAGTGTAGTTAGTTGTAATCTCTCTATATATAATAAAGTCTCCGTAGTGCTTTCATAACACACGGTTTAACCTAAATGTCTCTTAGTCTCTCCTAATTCAATAGAAATGAATGATCTTGAAAAGTTGACATATTTCCTAGGTATGGAGGTAGCATACTCAAAACAAGGCATTTTCATTTCTCAGAGAAAATATGGCCTTGACCTTCTCAAAGAGACTTGCAAGTTGGGTTGTAAACTCTCCAGGGTGTCTATAGAGCAAAACCACAAGATTGGGAGTGATGAGGAAAGACCAAGGGTTGATAAAGCTCAATACCAGAGACTTGTGGGAAAGCTCATTTATCTATCTCACACCAGGCCTGGCATAACTTATCTGGCTAGTGTTGTCAGTCAATTCATGCATGACCCACAAGAGAGACACTTACAGGCAGTGGATAAAATCTTGCAGTATCTAAAGATGAGCCCATGAAGAGGACTACTATTCAAGAAAAGTGAGCAGTTGTCTATGGAGGTTTATACTGATGCGAATTATGTAGGGTCGATTGTTGACAGAAGATCCACCACTAGATATTGTATGTTCGTAGGTAGAAATTTAGTGACATGGAGGAGCAAGAAACAAAATGTAGTTGCCAGATCAAGTGCAGAGGCAGAGTTTAGAGCCGTGGCTCAAGGAGTTTGTGAACTGTTGTGGATGAAGATCATTCTAGATGACTTGAAAATAAAGTATGAAGCTCCTATGAGACTTTTCTGCGATAATAAGTTTGCCATTAGTATTGCTCATAATCCGGTCCAACACGACAGAACAAAGCATATAGAGATAGACCAACACTTCATCAAAGAGAAACTGAATAGTGGTCTTATTTCTACACAACGTCCCATCAGGACTTCAGTTAGCTGATGTGTTCACCAAAGGACTTCCCTTGGAGTAGTTTCAAGATCTTACTTGCAAGCTGGGGATGATAGATATCCATTCTCCAACTTGAGGGGGAGTGTTGGAAGTTATTAGAGAGATAAGTATAGAATCAACAGGTTTTGTGTTATACAACTCAATAAAATATTAATTGTAAATAATAATTAGTAATTAACTATTAATAATTAGTAATTAGTTGTCTTCTATCATATTTAGAATTAGCATTTAAAGTGATTTGTCCCTTGTATTCTATAAATACCTTTCATGTATTACTTACTAAAATATCAAATAAATACAGATTGTTTGTTTCTTTAGTACATGCACACATGCATATCAAGTTATTAACGCTTAAAATTGTCGGCAGAGCACACACATGCACACACAGAGTAACCTAACATCAAGTTGTTGTGGCTAGTGAAACTCTTAATATCATTATTCTTTTGATTTATGATTAACTTCATCCGTTGAAAGTTGTGTATTTGCCTATTCTGTGCTCACTTATTATGCACTTGTAAATAGTTTATTAATTTATAATCTGATTTTTCCATTATTATTTTGAAATTTTCTGTATGTTATTTTGTGATCACTCTTAATTGACCATCTTAATTCTGCGACTTCTTGATCCTTATTCTTCAAAGAAAAATTGGCTAACTAATTTAAATGTATTTTTATTCTCTGTTTTGTTAATTTAACCTTTCTTATCCACAGTAGAGGGAGAGACCAAGGTATTGATTGTTGCAACAATAGCATGGGGACTGCGCAAATGCTCGCGGGCTATAATGTTGGCATTGATCTTTCTCATTGCTATAAAACCCGGTTTCATCCATGCTGTATATAGTATGTTTCATCTAACACTTCCGTGTTCATTTTCATTGATTACATTTTACTGATTTGTGGAATATAATCCTTTACCTTGATTTTTCAAACCCATAATAAGTTAAACTATATTTTATCACAAGACGGTATCATATGCTAGTTTATTGATCAGCTTCTCTATGTTTTGTCTTCAGTGGTTTTCTTCTTGATTTATCTTTTGAGCCACAGTATCAGCAGAAAGTTAAGACGGGCTTTGATTCTTCTCTGTGAGATTCATTTTGCACTGTTGTATATTCTTCAAATTAATTTGGTTTCTTCTGCACTGGAGAAGAAAGGCTCTGTTAGCATGGAAATTGTAATGCAATTAGGTATGAGATGGATTTAGCTCGTTTATACTTCATAACTTATAGCAATGCCATATCAATATGCCTTCCCTTCTGTTAGATAATAAAGAAATGGAAGATTCACCATATGTTTTGTGAATCCTTTCAGGCTTTCTTGAAGAAGATAGTGCCTGGGATTTCTTGGAAGTAGCATTGCTTGCTTGCTTTTGCACAATTCATAACCATGGTTTTGAGATGTTATTTTCATTTTCTGCAATCATACAGCATGCCCCTAGCCCTCCTATTGGATTTAGCATCTTGAAGGCCGGGCTTAACAAATCTGTTCTATTGTCAGTATATTCATCCTCGTCTGTGAGAAACAATGTTGAAAATTTCTCTTATGGTACATATCAAACTCATTTACGGTGCTTTGTAAAATTTCATTTTATTTACTAGATATAGTGTATCATAGATAGGTATATTGATATAATATGGGATCAGTTCTAACTTTTTGATATACTAATTATTTTTAATCTGTACCTGGAGATGAGTAGTAGGAAGCTGTTAAGCAGATGAACTTTGTTACATCAATTACTCAAAAGCAAGGTGGGGGTGGGACATATAAATTTAGATATTATCCCTTCTAAGCCAATCGCCTGTTGGTGGTATTATGGCTGTGTAATCCCAACAATTATTGTAGGACCTACATACTGTTACACAGGCTCTGCTTGGGTCGTGAAAAGATTGTAGTCAAGCAAGTCTGCTTGGGGCACTTCAAGTACATACATGCATAACTATTTGTAGAAACACATGTCTAGTTAAACTAAGTCTTTGCACTGCCACAATTTTGAAGCTGCCATCTTGTCTTGTTGATTGTGAAATCTCAAAAATTAGGGTAGAATGAATTGATTTTTTTATATCTTTTATGCTGAGAATACATCAGTCATATATACAAGGCTCGAAAGTTATTTTAGGAAATACAATAACACCTAAACTATCAGATCCCTATGATTCAGGGATATTTCCCTCATACACTATAATTGTAATCTGCTAAATAAGAAAATAATACAACTAATAAAACACTGATTCTGACAGAAATAATACAGCTAATAAAACAGATTCTAACACTCCCCCTCAAGCTAGTGAATAGGTATTTTCCATTCCCAGCTTGGAAACAATCTTCTCAAAGGTGTTGCTATTCAGCCCCTTCGTTAGAATATCTGCAAGATTGTCTTGTGAGGAGACATATGGAGTGCAGATCAGACCACTGTCTAATTTTTCTTTGATAAAATGTCTGTCAACTTCAATATGTTTGGTTCTATCATGCTGAACTGGGTTATGGGTTATGCTAATAGCAGATTTGTTATCACAATAAAGTCTCGTTGGTTCATCCAACTTTATTCTTAAGTCTTCAAAGATGATCTTCAACCACAATAGTTCACATATCCCTTGTGCCATTGCCCTGAATTCTGCTTCAGCACTGGATCTAGCCACCACACTTTGTTTTTTACTCTTCCAAGTCACAAGATTCCCTCCAAGGAAAGTGCAATATCCTGTAGTCGACCTCCTATCCACAATCGACCCTGCATAGTCTGCATCTGTATATGCTTCAAGATTTACACTCCTATTCCGTTCAAACAGAATTCCTCTGCCTGGGGTCCCTTTCAAATATTGCACAATTCTTAGTGCAGCTTGTAAGTGAACCTCCTTCGGTTGGTGCATGAACTGGTTGACTAGACTCACAGCGAATGCAACATCAGGTCTAGTGTGAGATAAATATATGATAGAAACCAACTGATATAGAATAAGATATAGGGAAACTCCCTTTCAAAACTGAATGATATTGCAGAACTTCGAGGGTCTGCACCTCCCAAATGCCAAAATGGCCCTTTTCCTATCCAATTCCACAATGATCATCTCTCTAATATCTTCCTCTATTTATTCTAAACCTAAACACTCTTAATTAATTATATAATAATTCTAATAATTACCCACTAACTCTCCTAATAATTTAATATCAGTTACAAAACTGAAGAGTCTAACAATACTCCCCCCTAAAGATTCACCTTGTCCTCAAGGTGAAAGAAATACATAGGACAAATTTAACCTCCCGGATCCCATAATATGAAAAATAAAGGTTGAGTTGTACATGAAATAGGAAATTTTCTTGCTAATGGCAGTCCTCTTGTGACCAGATTTTGTGGCCACAGTGGCACCAGTAGTGGAAATATCTTGTTCCTAGACTTTATCTTAGAAATAGTAGCAAACACCGACAATAGTGAGTCTTTTGCCTGTGATGAAATAGCCGACTCTCTGTCACTTCTCTGGACGTTTGCTTCACTAGCGGCCATCAATGAATCTGTATTTTTCACTTTGTCGCCCTCGCAATCAGATCTGATATCCACTTTACAAACTTCTTTTTCACTGTATTGTTGGATTTGTGAGTCTTCAACTTTACCACCAATCATTTCTTCGGTTGGAGATGCTATTGGTTCTTGAATTTCATCGCTGCCTTGGATTTCCTGTGTTTCATTTTCAGACTCCAGTAGACAAACCCAAACTTCTGGTTGGAATTTCTTGAGAATGGCCTTTGCAAAATTCCACCAACAAGTATTTGGATGTCTCTCCTTCCAAGAAATCCACCAATCGAGAGCATCTCCTCTCAATGCAAATGCCACAGCCCACTCAAGCTTCATCTCTTCACTCATTTTTCTTGAGCCAAAATATTGCTAAACTTGGATCAGCCACCAATAGGCCTCCCTTCCATCAAATCTTGGAATCAAATCTGCAGCCATATTCATGCCAAAATTTCCAGCACACTGACAAAATCTCTTTTGGGTCAGAACTGCTCTGATACCCGTTGATAGAAACCAACTGATATAGAATAAGATATAGGGAAACTCCCTTTTAAAACTGAATGATATTGCAGAACTTCGAGGGTCTGCACCTCCTAAATGCCAAAATGGCCCTTTTTCCTATCCAATTCCAAGATGATCATCTCTCTAATATCTTCCCTTATTTATTCTAAACCTAAATACTCTTAATTAATTATATAATAATTCTAATAATTACCCACTAACTCTCCTAATAATTTAACATCAATTACAAAACTGAAGAGTCTAACAATACTCCCCCCCTAAAGATTCACCTTGTCCTCGAGGTGAAAGAAATACATAGGACAAATTTATCCTCCCGGATCCCATAATATGAAAAATAAAGGTTGAGTTGTACATGAAATAAGAAATTTTCTTGCTAATGGCAGTCCTCTTGTGACCAGGTTTTGTGGCCACAATGGCACCAAAAGTGGAAATTTCTTGTTCCTAGACTTTATCTTAGGAATAGTAGCAAACACTGACAATAGTGAGTCTTTTGCCTGTGATGAAATAGCCGACTCTCTGTCACTTCTCTGGTCGTTTGCTTCACTAGCGGCCATCAACGAATCTGTATTTTTCACTTTGTCGCCCTTGCAATTAGATTTGATATCCACTTTACAAACTTCTTTTTCACTGTATTGTTGGATTTGTGAGTCTTCAACTTTACCACCAATCATTTCTTCGGTTGGAGATGCTATTGGTTCTTGAATTTCATCGCTGCCTTGGATTTCCTGTGTTTCATTTTCAGACTCCAGTAGACAAACCCAAACTTCTGGTTGGAATTTCTTGAGAATGGCCTTTGCAAAATTCCACCAACAAGTATTTGGATGACTCTCCTTCCAAGAAATCCACCAATCGAGAGCATCTCCTCTCAATGCAAATGCCACAGCCCACTCAAGCTTCATCTCTTCACTCATTCTTCTTGACCCAAAATATTGCTCAGCTTGGATCAGCCACCAATAGGCCTCACTTCCATCAAATCTTGGAATCAAATCTGCAGCCATATTCATGCCAAAATTTCCAGCACACTGACAAAATCTCTTTTGGATCAGAACTGCTCTGATACCAGTTGATAGAAACCAACTGATATAGAATAAGATATAGGGAAACTCCCTTTTAAAACTGAATGATATTGCAGAACTTCGAGGGTCTGCACCTCCCAAATGCCAAAATGACCCTTTTCCTATCCAATTCCACAATGATCATCTCTCTAATATCTTCCCCTATTTATTCTAAACCTAAACACTCTTAATTAATTATATAATAATTCTAATAATTACCCACTAACTCTCCTAATAATTTAATATCAGTTACAAAACTGAAGAGTCTAACAATATATCACTCTACCAACTAGTCTTTGATACATTTCCTTGTCAACTGCAGTATCTTCTTCTGCACTTCCCAACTTCAGGTTTGGATCAATTGGTGTACTTGCAGGCTTGCATACTGTCTTACCAGTCTCTTTCAACAAATCAGTGATGTATTTCTGTTGAGATATGAAGATTCCCTTTTTAGAATGAGCCACTTCAATTCCCAAAAAATACTTCAATTTTCCCAAGGTCTTAATTTCAAATTCCTTGGCTAGATGTTGGCTTAACAGTTGTTGCTCCTCCTCATCATCACCTGTCACTATAATATCATTCACATAAACCAGTAACACTGTTACTCCCCCTGACTTAGAGGGTTTAATGAACAAAGTGTGGTCTCCTTGACTTTGTTTGAAGTCCAGACCTATCATAACTTTGGTAAACCTACCAAACCACACTCGTGGTGATTGTTTCAGCCCATACAATGCCTTTTTTAGCTTGCAAACAATGTTGGCAACGGTTTTTCCACTATATCCAGGGGGCAATTCCATGTAAATCTCCTCTTCAAGTTCTCCATGGAGGAATGCATTTTTAACATCAAATTGTTGCAAGTTCCAACCATAATTAGCCGCTAGGGATAGTATCACCCTAACTGTATTCATTTTTGCAACTGGAGCAAATGTTTCCATGTAATCCACTCCATAAGTTTGAGTGAATCCCTTAGCTACTAACCTTGCTTTATACCTCTCAATGGATCCATCAGCCTTGTATTTTATAGTATATACCCACTTGCTTCCTATTGGTTTTTTTTCCATTTGGGAGAGTAACCAAATCCCAGGTGCTATTCTTTTTTAATGCTTCCATTTCCAAGTCCATGGCTTGTTTCCATTTCCTATCAGTCAATGCCTCAGATAAGGAGGTAGGTGTGGTTGTAGTGTTTAGGCTTGTGAGGAAGGCTTTATGGGTAGGTGAGAAGTTTTTAAATGATAGGTAATTGGCTAGAGGGTAAAGTGGCTTGGTGATACATTTCCTAGTCTCTTTCCTAAGGGCAATTGGAATATCTAGGTCCTCATGAAGTGGTGCTGAACTGGATTCGGGTTCCTGTACAGTGGGGAAATCAGAGATTGATTCAGTGGAGATTAAAGGATCAAGGGTAGTTACCTCATGTAATGTTGGGTTGGATTCTTGGACATGGACAAATTCTGGAATGGCCTTTGTCTTCTTTGTATAAACCAGCTTTTTCCCAAAAATCTTACATCAGCTCCATCTTGAGTGGACTTAGTGGGTTGAGCCTCTTTCTCAGAAGTTGCCTCCTTCTCAGAAGTTGTTACACTTCTAGTCCCTACTTTTGGTCCTAAACTTAAGCCAGGGAGCATAAGGAGATCATCTTACTTTCTTGTATTCTCCCCCTGAAGATGATCTTGGTGGAAGTAACTTTCTTGCTCAAAAAAGGTGACATCTCTGGACACAAAATTTTTTGGATGGTGGGTGATAGCATTTATATCCCTTTTGTGTGGATGAGTATCCTATGAAAACACATTTTAAGGCTCTAGGATCAAGTTTACCTCTATCACCACTGTGGACATGGATAAAAGATACACACCCAAATATTCTTGGAACAAGTTGATTGGATGTGGACACATTAGGATAGAAAGAAGACAGAACCTCCATAGGACTTTTTGAAGCTAGAATACTAGAAGGTAGTCTATTAATTAGATAACATGCAGTCAAAACAGCTTCCCCCCAAAACCTTTTAGGAACCTTATGTTGAAAAAGAAGAGCCCGAGTTTGGTCTAGTAGGTGCCCATTTTTCCTCTCAGCAATCCCATTTTGTTGAGGTGTTTTGACACAAGATGACTCATGAATGATACCTTCCTTTTGACAAAAGGAAATAAGCTCATGATTAAAGTAATCTTTGGCATTATCGGATCTAATCCTCTTAATGCTAACACCAAACTGATTTTTTACCATGGAGAAAAATGTTGGACCACAGAGCTGACTTCGGACTTTTGTTTTAGTAAGAAAACCCATGTGACCCGAGTACAGTCATCTATAAAGGTAAGAAACCAACGGGCACCAGAAACATTTGGGACATTTGAGGGACCGCACACATCAGTATGAATTAAATAGAAGGGGAAAGTGCTCATATTATTACTAACTGGAAAAGGTACACGCTTGTGCTTAGCAAACTCACACACTTCACGATGAAGACTCTCCACATCTAATTTGCTATAAAGAGAAGGGAATAACAATTTTATGACTCTAAAGGAAGGATGTCCAAGACGACAATGATGTAGGAGGACTTTCTCCCAGTTGGTCTTTATTGAGTCAGAGAAAAAAGAGTTGCTATTTTGTAAGTCTGGTGGCAGATTCGGGCTGTCCAAGTAATAAAGGTCATTCCATTCTCTAGCATGTCCAATCGTCCTCCCCGAGTGCTTGTCCTGCAGTATACAAGCATTGTTATAAAAAATAACATTACATGATAGGTCTTTTATGAGTTTTTTTATGGAAATCAGACTGACAGATAGTTTAGGAATATGAAGGACATTTTTAAGGGTTTTGGATGAGCTTATTTGAACTTCTCCTTGACCTGCTGCAGTCATCAGAGTGCCATCTGCTGTGGATATTTTCTTATTGCTAGGGCAAGGGGTGTAAGAGGAGAAATGTTTAGGTAGGGGTGTCATGTGGTCAGTAGCCCCAAAATCCAGTATCCAATATTGGTTATAGTGTTTATCCGAGGCATTAAGTCCAAAGGAAAGAAGAAACTCACCAAACGTACTTGAATATGCTAGAGAACAACTACCTGTTGGTTTTATCCAACTTGTTGAGGAATGATCTCATCTTCTCTACTTCATCTTGGTTAAGTTGAATCACTCCTCCCTTGTTTTCTTCACTGGTTGCAGCAACTATGTGTGCTTGTCCTCCCTTTTTTGTGTTGTCTCCTTTTTTTCCCCACTCCCTGTCTCGGTTTTGGGGCCCCCATTCTCTACTAGGTGGCTTTTCGATCAGCTTCCAGCAGTTGTCACGAGTGTGGCGAGGCTTGTTGCAGTAGGTACACCACACTCCTTCACCTTTCTTTTCCATATTACTTATGCCCCCCTTTTCTGGTTTGCCATCATGACCGAGGCCCCAGAAGCTACCATGGCTGAATCTTCCGTGGTTAGGTTTTCTAGCATGACTCCCCTTCTGCTTTCTTCACTTCTGACAATAGCTACTACTTCATTAATTCCTGGAACTTTTTCTTTTCCAAGGATCTGGGCTCTCACTTAATCAAAAAAGAGTTAAGCCCCACCAAGAAATCATAGACTCTATCTTGCTCAATATACTCTTTGAGCATTGCTGAATCTGTTGGGCACTTGGCTTTTATGACCCTGTAGTGATCTAACTCCATCCACAATGATTTGAGTTGATTGGCGTACTCTGTAACAGTCTTGTTTCCCTGTTTTGCAGCCATAGTCTTCACCTTCACGTCATATATTTGAGCAACATCTTTAGCTTTGGAGTATGTCTCCTCCATGGCCTTCCAAATCTCCTTTGCAGAATTAAGAAACATACAAGTATCAGTGATTTCTGGGACCATTGAGTTCCATAGCCATGCCATGATCATAGAGTCCTCTTCGTCCCATTTTTTAAATTTGGGGTCTCCTTCTTTAGGGGCGTCATCGGTCAAGTGGTTAGCTTTCCCTTTACCTTTCAAAGTTCTGTCAACAAGCTGGGACCATTTCAAAGAATTCTTCCCATTCAATCGGTAGGCAGTGTTGATGTTCTGCAGCTCTTCCTGAGTTTTCTGCACCACTTCATGAGTTGGGTTTGCCATGGCCACAACAGTACAACAACCTCAATGCAGTGAGGATGTATTTGATTGTTGCGACGACAACAAAGGAACAACACTGCAAATCACAGCAGCAATGAAGGCTGCCCTGAAAGGAATGACGGACAACAATGAAGGCTGTACTAAAAAAAGGATGATTGGCAGCAACGAAGGCTGCCGTCAAGGGTTTTGGTTTGCGCAGCCAGAGGCGGCTCCCAGAATTTGAGAGCTCTGATACCATCTCAAAAATTAGGGTAGAATGAATTGATTTTTTTATATCTTTTATGCTGAGAATACACCAGTCATATATACAAGGCTATAAAGCTATTTTAGGAAATACAATAACACCTAAACTATCAGATCCCTATGATTCAGGGATATTTCCCTCATACACTAATTGTATCTGCTAAATAAGGAAATAATACAACTAATAAAACACTGATTCTGACAGAAATAATACAGCTAATAAAACAGATTCTAACATGAAATATGTTTTATCCTCTTTTTATTTTTACAGAAAGAAGAATTGCATCATACCTCAGTGCAATTGGGCAGAAGTTCCTATCTGTATACCGATCATGTGGCACCTACATTGCTTTCTTGACTATTCTTTTTACAGTATACATGGTGAAGCCTAATTACACATCATTCGGTTACTTATTCCTTCTCCTCCTGTGGATTATTGGAAGACAACTTGTTGAGAAAACAAAAAGACAGCTTTGGCTTCCGTTGAAAGTATATGCAATTTCAGTGTTTATCTTCATATACAGCTTGAGCAGCTTCTCAAGCCTCGAGATGTATTTGTCCAGAATGATAGATCTCTATTTTTATCTGGGATATGACTCAAAAGCATCATCTTTTGACAATGTTTGGGAGTCTCTAGCAGTCTTAATTGTTATGCAACTTTATAGCTATGAGAGGAGGCAGAGCAAGCAGAACAGACAGGTTTACTTGGTTCAGTTGGAACCAGGGCCACTTGGGTTTATCAAGCGATTGCTTATCTGGCACAGCCAGAAGATCTTGTTTATTGCTTTGTTTTATGCATCGTTATCCCCAATCAGTACATTTGGGTTCTTGTATCTTCTTGGCTTGGTTTTCTGCTCCACATTACCAAAAATTTCTAGTATCCCATCCAAATCTTTCTTAGTATACACAGGTTTTCTGGTGACAGCCGAGTATCTTTTCCAGATGTGGGGTGAGCAAGCTAAAATGTTTCCTGGTCAAAAGTACTCTAATATATCGATCATCTTGGGCTTCTGTGTATACAGTCCAGGATTTTGGGGTCTAGAATCAGGATTAAGGGGGAAAGTGCTGGTTATCGTGGCTTGTACTCTTCAATACAATGTCTTCCGTTGGCTGGAAAGGATGCCAAATATAGTTCTAAGCAATGAACAGTGGGAAGAACCTTGTCCTTTGTTTGTTTCCACAGAAGATGCATTTGATGATGTTACTATATGCAATGAGGAAAGTAAACCGCCATGTAATCCACACCCGCCAGCTGCATTACAAGAAGGGGCATCTAGCAAGTCGCCGAAAATTATGACCTCTGGTTTGCCTCGAGCACATGATACTCCATCTGCTAATACTGGAGGTTCTGACAGTAACAGCAAAAAGTATTCATTCGGGTTTATCTGGGGAAGCAACAAGGAGAGCCACAAGTGGGACAAGATGCGAATTGTTTCTTTGAGAAAGGAGCGGTTTGAAACACAGAAAACTGTCTTAAAAATATATATGAAATTTTGGATGGAGAATATATTTAATCTGTTGGGTCTTGAGATAAACATGCTCACTTTACTACTGGCAAGCTTTGCCTTGTTAAATGCACTATCGATGCTATATATTGCACTGCTTGCTGCTTGTATTCTTCTGAATCGGCAAGTTATCCGCAAAATCTGGCCCATATTTGTCTTTTTGTTTGCTTCCATTCTCATCCTGGAATATTTTGTCATCTGGAAGGATATGTCACCTTTGAATTCCCATGCTACAAGTGAGATTCATTGCCATGACTGCTGGAAAACTTCAACTCTGCATTTCCATTATTGTGAGAAATGTTGGCTTGGTAGGACCCTCTTGTCCTTCTCAATTGCAACTCTGAAAAAATTCCATGTTCGTGCCTAATATTTGTGGCTCTAATGTTTCAAGTTTATACGGGAATTTGACGGTTTTATTTTAGCCTAAATGTTTGGTTTATTGGCTCCTTAATTTTGTTTAGATTCCTGAATTATCTGTAGTTTTTTGTTTTCCTCTTTGGAACATCTCCCTATGTGAATCAAATGGAAACTACTGATATCACATCAGTTTTAAAAAAAAATTCAGGGCTTTTCCACCAGTGTATTTAATATGCTTGTACTATTAAATATACTTCTGTGCATTGAACCTTCATTGTCCTGATCATTTCACTACCTTCTCTGATGTAGGACTTGTTGTTGATGATCCCCGAATGCTGATCAGCTACTTTGGGGTCTTCATGCTGGCTTGTTTCAAACTTCGTGCTGATCGCCTGTCTAGCTTTTCAGGATCGTCGACATACCGTCAGATTATGTCTCAACGTAAAAACACATTTGTTTGGAGAGATCTATCGTTTGAAACTAAAAGCATGTGGACCTTTCTTGATTATTTAAGGCTTTACTGCTATTGCCACCTGTTAGATCTTGTGCTAATATTAATTTTGATTACTGGAACAATGGAGTACGATATTTTGCATCTTGGTTATCTTGCCTTTGCTCTGGTATTCTTTCGCATGAGACTTGAAATACTGAAGAAGAAGAACAAAATATTCAAGTTCTTGCGTGTATACAATTTTGTTGTTATTATACTTTCTCTTGCTTATCAGTCTCCTTTTGTTGGGGGGCCAAGTGCTGGAAAGTGTGACACAGCAAATACCATCTATGAGATGATTGGTTTTTATAAATATGATTATGGTTTTCGGATTACTGCAAGATCTGCAATTGTAGAGATTATCATTTTTGTGCTGGTATCACTTCAGTCATACATGTTTTCCTCTCAAGAGTTTGATTATGTGTGTCGCTACCTGGAAGCAGAGCAAATTGGTGCAATTGTGCGTGAGCAAGAGAAAAAGGCTGCATGGAAAACTGAACAATTACAACAAATTCGTGAAAGTGAGGAGAAAAAACGACAGCGTAATATGCAGGTGGAGAAGATGAAATCTGAAATGCTGAACCTGCAAATACAGCTCCATAGCATTAACACATCCACTAATTGCATTGATGGATTTTCTCACAGCAGTGAGGGTTTAAGAAGGAGAAGGAGTGCTTCTCTTATATCAAATAATGACATTGGAATTCCTGATAAAGAAGACCAGGTTTTGGGGAGACTTGATGCTGTTTTCCCAACTGAATCACATGAATCATCTGCTTGCATGGATGTAGAAACTCCATTAACAGAGGAGTACATAAAGCAATCAGCCGATTCTCCTCTGTGTGAAATTACTGAAATAGACATTGATACTCCTTCTAGTGAGTCAGGAAAAAAAGGAAACGTTAAAGGGCCAGCAAAAGAAAACCCATTGAAATCTGCTGTACAATTATTTGGTGATGGTGTTTCCCAGGTGCAGTCCATTGGAAATCAGGCTGTTAATAACTTAGTGAGCTTTCTGAATATTTCACAAGAAGATTCTGATTCCAATGAACACACAAACACAGAGGATCAGATATATGATGAGATGGAAAGTCAGAAATCTCGGCCTGTATATTTGGATCGGGCTTCATCTTTGCAGTCTGATAGAAGTTCTGATGCTGCAAGTCTGCAGTTAGGAAGGATCTTTCGTTATATATGGTACCAGATGCGGTCCAACAATGATGTAGTATGTTACTTTTGCTTTGTTCTTGTGTTCTTATGGAACTTCAGTTTGCTATCAATGGTGTATCTTGGCGCTCTTTATCTGTATGCTTTATGGGTGAATACAGGCCCAAGTTACATCTTCTGGGTTATCATGTTGATCTATACAGAACTTTACATTTTACTTCAGTATTTGTATCAAATCATCATCCAGCACTGTGGGTTGAGTATTGATCCTGGCCTGTTGAGAGAATTAGGTTTTCCAATACACAAGGTCACGTCTTCATTTGTTGTCAGTTCATTGCCTCTTTTTCTTGTCTATTTATTTACCCTCATTCAAAGTTCCATAACACCCAAGGATGGTGAATGGATGTCTTCTACCGACTTCAAATTTAAGAGGAATGATCTCCACACAAAAGATAATCCAACTCGTTATAGCTGGCGAGAGAAAGCATGGTATCTGCTAACTCAGATGACTAACATGGTAAAACTGGTAGTGAGAAGTTTTTTTAGGTACTGGAAATCACTCACACAGGGAGCAGAATCACCTCCTTATTTTGTTCAGGTGTCTATGGATGTCAACTTCTGGCCAGAGGACGGGATTCAACCAGAGAGAATTGAATCTGGAATTAATAAGTTACTCAGAGTTATCCACAATGATAAGTGCAAGGAAAAGAACCCAAATATTTGCTCTTTTGCTAGTAGGGTTAACATTCAAAGCATTGAAAGAAGTAAAGAGAATTCCAGTGTTGCCTTAGTGGTTTTCGAGGTTGTGTATGCCTCACCTGTAACTGATTGTTCTTTAGCAGAATGGAATAAATCTTTAACTCCAGCAGCTGATGTTGCCAAGGAAATTCTCAAAGCTCAGCGTGCAGGTTTTGTAGAAGAAGTGGGTTTCCCTTACCGTATTCTTTCTGTAATTGGTGGAGGCAAGAGAGAAATTGATCTGTATGCCTACATATTTTGTGCAGATTTGATTGTATTCTTTCTTGTTGCCATCTTCTACCAGTCTGTCATAAAAAACAAAAGTGAGTTCCTCGAAGTGTATCAGCTTGAAGACCAGTTTCCAAAAGAATATGTCTTTATGTTGATGGTGCGTCTTTAATTTTCCCTTTTTTATTATCCTTTTGTTCTTTTGACAGGCCTGGAAAAGTTTGTCGGACACAGTTGTACTAATAAATTAATTAGTTCAACTCATACCATGTTAGAAACCAAAGTTTAATTGAAAAGAAAGAATATTTTGGTCTTCATACTGTGCATGTTCCCCCTTTGGGATGCTCTCAGCTGTTACTGAAGAATTTAAAGGGGATGATATCCCATAGGCCCTCCTTAGTACAAAAAAAAGTTTCGTTGAAAAATAGGAGAGAAGACTCTGAAGGTTGACCCTTCAAAACAGTGTTTTACTCTATTCACTAGATGTTTACAGATTCAAACAATATGAAGGCCACCCCCTCTAATTTTCACCAACTAATTTTTCCTTATTTTCTATCCTAAAAATACCACCCCTTCTAATTCATCCTTGTACTCAAGGTCGAAATTAGGCATCTGACAGTATTCTCATGACCAGTATAGTGCTCCTCTTCACCCTCTTGCTCATTTTCAGCTAAAGTGCTTCTGTAGAATTTGTTAGGGTACTAATGCAAGCTGCTTGAGAAAGAGAATCGGGCCACCTTCTATTCACAATTATTATAGTCTTGGGCTAGCCAATGAGACGGAGGGAGTATGTAATAATAAAATTCGTGGCGGCTTAAGCTTTTGGCTTTTTCAGTTCCTGACATTTCTTATGCTGGAAAATTATATAGAACCTTTGAAATGGTTCAGTTTATTTTTTATTATTCTGTATGTTTTTCAACTAGAAACAAAAACTTAGATAGTTTTCCTTTATAATTTATTTCGCTTCAAAGGAGAATGACTAGTTTTAACTGGCATATTTTGTTCACTCTTGGATTAATGTAATGTTGGAATGACTGGACATTTTTTATTCTATTTTACATTTGTGTCAAGTCATATAGAATGCTAACAGTATTTATTTCTTCTGCTCAGGCTATCTTCTTCTTGATTGTACTTGATCGTATAATATACCTCTGCTCATTTGCCACGGGGAAAGTGATATTCTATATTTTCAACCTCATTCTCTTCACGTATTCAGTTACAGAGTATGATTGGCAATTGGATCCATCTCGACAGCATGCAGCTCAGTTTGCTCTCCGTGCCATATTTCTTGCGAAAGCAGTTTCCCTAGGATTGCAGGCTGTACAAATCCGATATGGCATTCCTAACAAGAGCACATTGTATCGACAATTTTTGACTAGTGAAGTTTCACGAATCAACTACTTAGGATATAGACTTTATCGTGCTCTGCCATTCCTTTATGAATTACGGTGCGTACTTGATTGGTCGTGCACAACTACATCCCTCACCATGTATGACTGGCTAAAGGTATAAATGTAAATAGTATTGCTTAAACCACTATTTATTCAAAAAAGTATAATTTCCATCATTTGACACTTTTTTTGAAACAACTCGGATACATGGCCATATTAATTGATACATCTTTTGTGCTACCTTGTTGCTGTGAACTATACTTAAATAATTGATGGCTTAATTGCACTTTTAGTTTCCCTAGTATATTAGACGCGCAAGAATAGTCTCCCCTTTAAAATCGAACTCTTCAGTCCCTCAATTGTCATATTTGTCATAATTTTGGTCCCAAGTCCCAACCTTGTTTTTTAGCCTCGAAAATGATTTTTAGCCCCAAAAGTGGTGATTTACTGCCCCAATTTTGAAACTCAAGATACAATATCTTTTTTGAGCTCAAAACTGGGATGAGACTAATTTTGCAACATGACCATCGAGGGACCAAAAAGATTGATTTTAAAAAGGGGTGACTATTTTCGTGAGTCTGATAAGTTAGGGGCACCAAAATTGCAATTAAGCTATAAGTGATTGACAGAATCAAAATTCACCTCTGGAATATATTGCTTTTAAAGGAAGTTAAGTGCAACAACCTAGACATAGTTTGTTATACTGAATATGCAGAACGTGAATTTTCATGTTCGCTTGCAATTCATAATGATTTTAATAGGGAAATGATAGGAAAGTTGTTTTTAATATATGTTCTATTGTTCCTGGTAATTAATGTCTTTAGCTTGTTCCTATTGGTGGTTTTTTTTCAGCTTGATTTCAAGATTGTGTTTGTCTCCAGTATGTCTTTGTACCTTTAATTTTGAAATGATGGTTGATTGCCAGTTTGCTGTGACCTTTCTGCTCTTGAATAATTTTATACGGTCTCCTCTCAATAAATTTTCTGCCAATAATAGCTAACAGGAAAAGATAAATTTTGATCAATGTAGAATTTCTTATACAAGTACATATTTATTGAAGTTCTTTTCTTTAGGCTTTGTTTGGAACTCTTGGAGTTTGGAGGAAAAGGGAGATGAGGAATTTGAAAAAAAGGAAAGGATGAAGTAGAAAAAATTGAGAGATTTGGATGGATAGGATTTTGGAGGGTTTTGAAAGACTTAGATAAATTCTTCAAATATAATTTATGTTATAATATTCTAAAAATTAAAAATATATTAATGATAAATATTCATTCATTATTCTTTACAAAAACACCATTTCAAAAAATAAATTTCTCTATTTTTTTATTCAAATCCCCTCCCTCTAAAGTTCTCCCTTCTCTTTTCCTCCAAACTCAGAAACAGAGCCTTATGGATTGTTCAATTTAAAAATGACTGATACTTACTATTTCGTGGTATCATGATGTTAGATACAAGCCCTTAATTAGGATAGGAAGGGTCTTTTTAGTTAATACGAGGCAGTTTTATAATTAACAAGCAGTTTATTTATTAGTAGGCCGTTTTTATTAAAAATAACTGTCATTTGTAATTGCAGTTAGAATAAGAATGAATTAATTAAGAGCGAGTGTTGCCTATAAATAGAGGGGTTGATTGAGAGAGAGTGTCTTGGTAATTGATTGGAAAGGGGCCCTTTTGGCATTGGGGAGGTGCATACCCTCGAAGATCTGAGATTATCATTAAGTAATCAAAGGGATTTTCTCTATTTACTTTTTAATATCAGTTGGTTTTTATCACATGACTACCAGAGTGATATGCACAATAGCACCAAGGGAAGAAGATGCCAGCCACTTAATTAAATCTTGAATGATTGAAGGTTCATATCATAGATGTGTGTTTGGTAAAGCCCACCTATTTCAAATTGATGAACAAAAATGTTAAAAATGGTTGGCCAAAATTTATCTTTAGAATGTAAACCGAATTATTTAGTCAAGTATAGCTTATGTTATTATTTGGCGTATGAATTACTTATTTGAATTTATCTATTAGCATAATCAAATGTTTGGGTGTCGAGAGCTTACAAAAATACCTTATGACAGTAAATAAATTGTATTTGGATTATTTTAATAAGATCTCCAGATAGCTTATAAGAACTACTTGCATCGTATAATGAAAACAATTTGACCACATTTTCTCTTTAGATATAGTAGTAGTTTACCCCAAATGCATCTCATGTCATTCTTCCATAAGTGCCTGCAACATATTATTAGATAGGACTTTAGGACTTCTTTTTGTTTTTTCTGCTGTTGAATGTCTTGTAGGAAAGTTTAGTAGGCATCTTAAAGATTTTATTTGTGAGTAGCGCATTTCAGATGACAGTTTATTCAATAAGCACCTATGAAAATTCATTTGGAAGAGCTTGCTTTTATGTTGTGCTGTTTTTTTCTACTTTTGAATTCTCCTTAGTTAGGAACTAACACATGCATATTTTTCCCCAATTTTGATAGCTTGAGGACATAAACGCGAGTTTGTACCTTGTCAAATGTGATTCAGTCTTGAATAGAGCTACACACAAACAGGGGGAGAAGCAAACGAAAATGACCAAATGCTGCAATGGGATTTGCCTGTTTTTTGTACTGATATGTGTTATATGGGCTCCAATGCTGGTAAGAAAATGACAAACCGTTAATTTCATAGTTTACTAATTGTTGGTGTGATATGGTTTTAATTATAGCACTTCTGGTTTGTAGATTTGTTAGTATACAAACTCACGTGTAATAATGGAATGGCATGTCATTTATCATTTTAGTTTTACTATAATATTAAGTAATTTATTAGAACACAGCCCGACTTTTGCTATAATTTTAGTATCATGGGGACAGTCTATTGAATTTTTTTATCAGAACTTTAACATCCTGTTAGGACATTACTATGTGTCTTGTAGACCTTGGATTTGTGTGATACAACCCAATGATTTGATACTTGAGGCACTATCAATTTAGGTTGATTTCGATTGATATCCCTGTCTTTCTACAACTAATTTACTACAAACTTTGGTAATATAAATGTTCCTTTGTTGTTACTACAGCATTTGGTCATAAGAATTCATATTTTCAAACCTTGTTTATTTGTTATCTTTAAATTTCAGGGCCTACTCTTACTTAGTACTACCTCCGTCCCTAAATATAAGACCCCGTTGAGTAAATTGCGGAAATTAAGAAAGTTATTGACTATTTTGTATAATTTTACAAGTTTATCCTTAGGAGAGAGAAATAGTTAATGTGTATGTATCTGTATTTATTATAAATTGCAGAAAAATATGTAATATAATTAGGGGTATGTTTGGAAAAAAATAATTAATGCACTTTGAAAGTTGAAGAGAGTCTTAAAAAAGGGGACAAGAAAAAAACTCAAGAAGGTCTTATAATTAGGGACGGAAGTAGTAATATGGTATTTTAGTCATTTGTCCTTTCCCTGTATGTTTGTATATGTGTGCAAGGGGATGCATATGTAGGATTTGATGAAACTTAAATACACCTTTCATAGTATATAAGTATGATAAATATGATGATTCAATCAATGTAAATAAGTCATGAAGATAGTTTTATTTATCTTGGATCAAGATATTTATCGTTTAGAGATATGACATGCTTAAAAAGCCCTTTTGTATTAATGTTTAGTTGTGCTTCTAATGTTACCTTCTTCTATTAGAAATTCTAAATGAAAAGTGTCAGGTATGTAACCATTTGTTTTTGAAGAATATGATGATTTAATGTGAAAATGTTTGTTTGCTAGCTTAAATATCTCTAATGACTTCTTATTTCCATAATGGTTTTTAATGAAAACTGTTATCGAATGGTTTTATTAATCTAAATCTTACAAGTTTACTGATTACCCTTCATTGATTTTCATTCACTGTTTATTTACTTTTCAAATAAAAATGCTATATTCCCATTTCCCAGTAACTTTGTTCTTGGAACACTGCTGTTGTAGTTAGATATCACTAGGGAACTCGGGTGTTAGTTATTGAAGTCGAACGCATTTGTCCCACTTTTATTCAATTGCTCTTGTACTCAACCATTGCAATTTTCGCATCACCACAATATTTTATAACAAATTTACTGAAGTATATTTTTTTCCCTTTCAGATGTATAGCAGTGGTAACCCCACAAACATTGCAAACCCCATTAAAGAAGCTAGCTTTCAAGTTGATATCAAGACAGTGAGTGGAAGGTTGAATTTGTACCAAACTACTCTGTGTGAAAGAATCCAGTGGGATTCACTCAATTCGGAAGTCAATGCTGATCCCAATGGCTATTTAAATGCATATAATACGAATGATATCCAGTTGATATGTTGTCAAGCTGATGCTAGTACATTATGGCTTGTTCCACTTGTTGTTCAGAATAGATTGATTCAGTCCCTCGAGTGGTATACCGACATGGAAATTTTTTTCTCCTGGGTACTTTCAAGGGACAGGCCAAAAGGGAAAGAGGTTGTGAAATATGAAAAGACCATTGATCCACAATATCTCCCAATACAGTCTGATGTTCAAAAAGTTCTTAACGGCTCTATGAACAGCTTTAGGCTTTATAATGTTTATCCAAGATACTTCCGTGTCACTGGTTCAGGCGACGTTAGACCTTTGGAGGAGGTATTGGATGGTGTTCCTTTCTCATGTTATATTTATATATGCTGTGGCTTAGATTGTTATTGGAAATCTTTAATTCAATTTTTCAGGATGGTGCTGTTAATGCTGATCTCGTTTTAAATCGTGAGCAGCTTGAGTGGTGGGCCTTTAAAGATGTTAATCCACCAAATATAAGTAGATTTTGTGGTGGTTTGACAGGACCTATGGCAATCATAGTATCTGAGGAAACACCACCACGTAAGTTGGCAATGTCATTTTTTCTCCAAAATTATTTCTCCCGGCTATTTATATTGCCTAATACTTTGATTATGATATTGTCATATTGTTTCAGAGGGTATTCTTGGTGACACACTCAGCAAGTTCAGCATATGGGGGCTTTACATAACCTTTGTTCTAGCTGTTGGACGCTTCATCAGACTCCAGTGTTCCGACTTAAGGATGAGAATTCCCTTCGAGAATCTACCTTCATGTGATAGGTACTATAGGTTTCTTTACTGAAGAAAGCCATGCAAACGAGTAAATGATATACAAATTTTCCCTTGAGAATTTCAAGCCAATTAATTAGTCGATACTCATGCTTTCTAAAACCACGTCATTCTAGTGTGACGTTGTTGGTAAACCTCTTTAAGATGCATCCTGTTGTAACTTACATCACTTTTTGCATGCTTCTCATGTAGGTTAATAGCCATTTGCGAGGATATATATAATGCAAGAGCTGAGGGTGAGCTTGGAGTTGAAGAGGTCCTTTACTGGACACTGGTGAAGATATATCGGTCCCCGCACATGCTGCTTGAGTACACCAAACCTGATTAAAACGTTAAGGGTTGAGCACCATCTTCTGGTCATAAATGTTAACTGGGCTTAATGCTAACACATGGTTTGAGTGCCACACAAATAGAATGGGGGCAGTGCGATGCAGGTGGATGACCGCATAAGAAGTTTATAATATTGCAACGTGTTTGGTGCGGTATTCAGTATGGATTATAAATCATTTCTCAGACAAGGGTGGCATCGTAATACATCATTGTGTAAATTATACATGCTTGATAGAAAGTTTGTAGTAATTGTTTTAGGAAAATCATGTATACAATGTAAAACGTAATCTATATTCAATACCAGAGTTATAGTGAAGCAATTGGTCAAATATGTATAGTTGTTAACCAGGAATGACAATTTTCCCCTACCATTTCTCCCACATTTCAATCGTAGAACAGATAGATTAATTCAACTCAAAATTGTTAGTGTTAGCATGACTGACTAGATTTTTAATTCAATGGGAAATCTTCACTATAGAATGCGTGGTGTAGTGCTTCTCTATCCCCTAAATAAATAGGGAATAACAATGTTTTCCCTCTTTTGAAACATAATTCAGCTAAATGTTAAAATTAGAATACATGCATAAAATAATGGTAATTAGAATACATGCATAAAATAATGGTAACATCAACAATTAACAAAATTTTATGATCGGTCAAAAAACAAAAGATAGTAGAGGTTGGACTGAACTTCTTTTGAAACATAATTCAGCTAAATGTTAAAATTGGAAAACATGCATAAAATAATGGTAACTTCAACAATTAACAAAAATTTCTGATCAGTCAAAAAACAAAAGATAACGGTAACTTCATCTGAACTTCATATGAGGTTTTACTGTATTTTTTTGGTAAAGAAGATATTTTACTTTGCAAGATAATAGATGTCTTAACTAGTAAATTATGAACTTGAAACAAATAAAATTAATAGCTTTTTTGGTGCATATAGAAAATAAAGTGATCAATCAAGTTGAGTAAAATTAATAGCTGAATGGACAAATTGTGGTTGCAAAACATTTTTATTTAATTTTGAAAAAGAAGTACAACTTGAATTTTATCAACACATTGAAGAATATTTTTCATATTCATCACTATAACTCCAGCAATATCATTTGAAAGAAAAAGAAGACTGGTCTGAGGCAAATCGATAGGGGTGCATAGAAGAATACTAAATATTGTTTTGGGTGTTCTGATTACTCAGCACAGCGGAGGTGAATATCTGTTTAAGTTACAAAAGACAACAAAAGAACAAACATATGTTTCAATGCTACAAGATTGGTGTTCCCCTAACAGTTTCTAATTATACTACAAAACAAACCAACCATAATTAGCATCGACAACAGCATGCAGCAGACTTGTGATGATATTTCTCAGACATCATCCTAAGCTATCTTAGCTTTTTTGTTAGCAGAATCCTTCTGCTCAATAAATTCTGGGATAGTGTCTTGCATTATCTTTGGGGATGAGAAATCGAAATCCGAAGCAGATACACCAGTTAGTTCCGGATGATCTCTTAGATATGCTGCTATCTCATTGCGGGTTCTTAGTTTTTTACCTGTAGGTGTGATGTAGTAAGAGTCCAATTTAGAGTAATCTTTCCTCAGTACCAAGGTTCTCTTGAAACCTTGTGGAGTCTTTGGAAGGTTAGGCTTGTCAATGACCCATGTCCGAGTAGAATCATATTCAATATCAGCAGGATCATCACAGCTACAATTAGCCTTTCTGCTACATTCAAAAGGCTCTCGAATGATTTTATGTCGAATCTCTTCAAACTCTTCCTGCGTATCAATCACTCTCCATTTCATGCAACTTTTGCACTGCGCCGCATATATATCGACTGAACCTTGAGTTGACACTGCTCTCTGTCACAATAATTAACCAGCAATTTAGAAAGTAGCTGAAGTTCAGCTCTTAGATTAAACCTAAAAAAGAATTAATATTCCATACTATTGCAGAAAACTCAAGTCTCACAATGAAAAAGGATGAAGTCTGAAAGCAACCTGAGAGAGTGACACGCGTCACTTTACAAACAGGCAGTGTTATCAAATGGCGGCGCCATGGCCACTATGGCGGATATACATGGCGGTTGATGGACTCGCCGCAATGGTAAATATTGGCCAATATTATGGATTTTTCCACCATAATCTGCTATAACGGTGCCTGGTATGGCGGGATTTTGGCTCCGCCATCAGCCATCGACAACACTGCTAACCGGTCAGGTATAAAAGCCTATTATTGTATCATAGTCTCTCCAACTGAGCCACCCATCAAATTATCCACTCACCTAGCCCAATAGTGCTCAGGGTGAGTGTTGTGGGAAATACTCAAGTTAAGGATGAGTTAAGTCCAATGTTAAAACCCTGTCAGAGACTTCGCACTATATGAAAACTTGCAATTCAGTTTTGAATCTATAAGCTTGCATTTTTTCTTGTTGTGTGGATCTATTAGCTTCCTTTATTATATAGTAAAACTGACACTAAAACCACTCACACTTAACCGCAATAAAACAACTTAAACACAAATGAAGGTTGATTGAAAGATAATTATCAAAATAATTATCAATTACTAAGTAATTAACTAGATAATCATTGAATCCACTAGATTAACGAATAATCTTTATAGTTTACGGACGGGTTTGATCACTTGATCTAACAGAATGGGATAGACTCCCACAACATAAGGAAGCAAATTCAAAAGCACATGTAACTGAGGGATCTAAACCCCTCCAATTCAAATTATTACCGTGTGGAGTATCAGCGTGGTGTTTCTGGTGTCGACGTGTCAGTGACGGTGTTTATGGTGTGCAAGCTTCACAGACAAAAACCAATAAACAAACCAGTGACCGGAAAACATGCATTTACGAATCCATAAAGAGTTGAAAAGAATGAATCAAGAAATACAGTTCAAAAGTAATGGATTAAAAAAAAAAGAGGAATCGGGTTCTAGAGAGAGTTGAAAATGGTAGTGAGTAGTAATACCTTGTTAGAAGAGGATGGAGTTTTGGAGGTATCTGGAGTGGCTGACATTGATTGAGCTGAGAAATCAAATTGAGATTACAGATAGAGCACTCGGAGAAGAGGAATTCGATCTTGTCTGAAAGAGTGTTTAGGGTTTGAAGAAGAGAAATGGCAGCAACGTTTCCCTTCTTGCTGGGTAGGTGGCGTTGAACAGAATAGAGAGAGAAATGGGTACTTTAGGAGTTAGCACTACTTAGGACCAAATATTTTAATGAATGGTTTTTTTAGAAAAAATAGGTAATATAGTTACCGTTTAAATTAATTTTACATTACGGTAAAAACGTAATTAATAAATTTTCTAAAATAATAAACTTGTACGGTTTTGATTTAGACCAATATAAAAAATTGAAATATTCCATAAAATAATAGGATAATAATTTTTCAAAGATCTCTTTATAATTTTGAGTCTCAAGAAAATCATAAATTAATAGTTTATAGAAATTAAAAAAATATATATTACACTCTATTGAAATATGATTCAATAGTTGTTTGTTTTTCTTTAAAGTTCAAGTCTATTTGAAACTTATCTCTAATTTTTTTTATTGCATTCAATAGCTTATGTGTTATGTTTTTGTATTGTATCGTAAAGTTGTGAAGAATGTTCGACGCCATAAGTATTTTCTTTTGCGTAAGAGACATAGACTAATTTATCTTTTTGTTTAGTATATACAATATAATCACGTTGAGTCCCAAAATTCGCTACAACGTAATTCTAAAAGGCATAGACTAATTTATCTTTTTGTTTGATATATACAGTATAATTATTTTAAAAAATTTTAAATTAATAATTTTTAAAATTAATAAATTTCTTCTGTCTTGACATTATTAATTTAAAGAATTTCTAGTGTATCATTTAATTATGACTACATTATTTATTTATTTTTAAATATTTTTAATAATATAATAGATTATTGATTTATTATTTAATAACTATTTTATATTATTAGAGTATATCTATTAAACTATTTTTTAAATATTTTTATTTTACTTTTTAGTATGATAAATTTAAATTTAAATTATAATAAAGTTTTGCGTAAAATAAATCTATTATTTTTATTTGACAAGACTAAAATTTGTATTATCCAATTCTTTGTTATTTTGATTTTTTTTTTTTTACTTTTCGAGGTTCTAGAAATAAAAAGACGGGGTTCCGAAATTTTATAGTTATTTTATTTATTGTTACAGAAAATTAAATGTTTGTGACAAAAATGTTTGTAATTTAATTAATAAATATAATAGTAAAAAATTTATAAGAGAATATTATTTTTTTCAAAATAAAATACTATCTTATAAAAGGAAAAAAAAACTATATTATAAAGATACAAAATTAGAGGGTTAGACCTAATCCAAAAAGAAAAAGAGAAAAACGAAAATAAATAAAATAAGATTATAATAAATAAAGAATTCAATAAATTACATAAGTTTATTATTTTTTAATTAAGTGTTATGGAATCCAAACTTTTTAACATGTTTTTGTTTTTTTCCCCTTACAAATCACTTTAATAAAAGAATTTTCTTTCTCATTAGTGTGAGTTGTATGCTTAGTGTTTATAGCATTTTTACACATTTAATTTTTCATAATCTTCATATCAAGAATCAAATTAAGATGTATTTTAATTGTAGGTGTTCTTCTGTCTGTCTTATTTCTTGATTTTTTAAATTAAATTTGTGATTGTTTTAGAATTATAAACTTCACTTTCTTAAGTTACTTTTTCTTCTTCCATCTAATAGTAGTCATTATTTTCTACATCTTGACGTCTTGAGGAAGAGGACGGAGAGCAACAATTAACATAACACATTTTTACTGAATCAATCATAATAGTTGGTCTAAGCTATGTGGTATTTTATGTTTTATTTTAATTTTTTTATCTAATTAATGACGAAAAAATTCAGAAATTAATCGTTAAATTCGTCGTTAATTAGACAAAAAGATTAAAATGAAATATTTTGAAAAATTGAAGGAGTAATATGAACTTTTTTTAAA